TAATAAATATATATGTTATACATATTATGATTATAATAAATAATATATATTTTATACATATATTATAATTATAATACATAATATATGTTATATATATATATATATATTATAATTATAATACATAATATATGTTATAGTTATAATTATAATATATATATATATATGTTGTATATATTATAATTATAATAGATAGATAGATAGCATAATGCTATATGAATTAAAAACAGGGCAATGCAATTTAATGCTCAATATTACCCATCAGATACCGTTTCCCCTGTTTTAAAGTGGGGGAACGCTATCTGATGGCCATAAATCTCCCATCAGATACCGTTTCCCCTGTTTTAAAGTGGGGGAACGCTATCTGATGGAAATAAATTTCACATCAGATAACGTTCCCCCTGTTTTACAGTGGGGGAACGGTATCTGATGGCCATAAATTTCACATCAGATAACGTTCCCCCTGTTTTAAAGTGGGGGAACGCTATCTGATGGCCATAAATCTCCCATCAGATACCGTTCCCCCTGTTTTACAGTGGGGGAACGCTATCTGATGGCCATAAATCTCCCATCACATACCGTTCCCCCTGTTTTACAGTGGAGGAACACTATCTGATGGAGACATTTCACCCATCAGATAGCGTTCCCCCTGTTTTACAGTGAGGGAACACTATCTGATGGAGACATTTCACCCATCAGATAGCGTTCCCCCTGTTTTACAGTGGGGAAAAGGTATCTGATGGCCACTTTTTACTCATCAGATAACGTTCCCCNGGCCATAAATCACCCATCAGGTACCGTTTCCCCTGTTTTAAAGTGGGGGAACGCTATCTGATGGCCATAAATCACCCATCAGATACCGTTTCCCCTGTTTTAAAGTGGGGGAACGGTATCTGATGGCCATAAATTTCACATCAGATAACGTTCCCCCTGTTTTAAAGTGGGGGAACGGTATCTGATGGCCATAAATTTCACCATCAGATACCGTTCCCCCTGTTTTAAAGTGGGGGAACGGTACCTGATGGCCATATTTCACCCATCAGATAGCGTTCCCCCTGTTTTAAAGTGGGGGAACGGTATCTGATGGCCATAAATTTCACATCAGATAACGTTCCCCCTGTTTTAAAGTGGGGGAACGCTATCTGATGGAGACATTTCACCCATCAGATAGCGTTCCCCCTATGTTAAAATCACCCATCAGATAGCGTTCCCCCTGTTTTACAGTGGGGGGACGGTATCTGATGGCCACATTTCACCCATCAGATAGCGTTCCCCCTATGTTAAAATCACCCATCAGATACCGTTTCCCCTGTTTTAAAGTGGGGGAACGCTATCTGATGGCCATAAATCTCCCATCAGATACCGTTTTCCCTGTTTTAAAGTGGGGGAACGGTATCTGATGGCCATATTTCACCCATCAGATACCGTTTTCCCTGTTTTACAGTGGGGGAACGCTATCTGATGGCCATAAATCTCCCTTCAGATACCGTTTCCTCTGTCTTAAAGTGGGGGAACGCTATCTGATGGCCATAAATTTCACATCAGATAACGTTCCCCCTGTTTTAAAGTGGGGGAACGCTATCTGATGGCCATAAATCTCCCATCAGATACCGTTT